TGTACAGCTGCTATAAGAAAGCAACTTTGTGACTTCTCCAAAATTTTGACACAGAATTATCATACTAAAACAGACTGATACTGGAGGGCTCCTTTAAACTTAAGGAAAACTTCTTCATGCTGAGAGTAAAGGGTGAAGGGCTGCCCACCTCAGCCTGAGAGTTGCCAAGGAAGCTAAGAATGAAGACTGTCCCCTGCCCCAGCCCCTCTAAGCTCAGGTCAATTAAATATGCATATGTGTATTTCCAGCCTTTTGTCCCATTTTGCTGTCTCTTTTCTTTTACAAGCTTTCCTCACCCCAGAGCCTCTCAAAGATGAAATTTTTGAAACAAAGTTTCTTCTACATTCTTGCAAATGTGGCTTTGAATACAACATATTTTCCTACAAATTTAACTTGGAAAAATTTGTGGAGCACCATGCAGGTAGCCTCGCCTTGTTGTAAAAGAACACAAGTAAAAATATGACCCAGCCAGTTTTTAAGAATATGAGAAACAAGTAGTGTTGGCAAAGATGTGGGGGAAAAGGCACACTCTTACATTGCCAGTGAGACTGCAAACTGGTGCAACCAATCTGAAAAGCAGTATGGATATTCCTCAGAAAACATGAAATGGAACTATCATTTGACCAAGATATCCCACTCACTCCACGGTTTATACCCAAAGGACTTAAAAACAGAATAATACAAGTGACACAGCCACATCAATATTTATAGCAGCACAATTCATAATAGCTAAATTGTGGAACCAACCTAGATATCCTTCAATAAATGAATGGATAAAGAAACTGTGGTATATATACACAATGGAATATCACTCAGCATTAAAAGATAATAAAATCAAGGCATTTGCAAGTAAATAGATGGAGCTGGAGAATATTAAGCTAAGTGAAATAAGCCAATCCCAAAAAACCAAAGGCTGAATGTTTTCTTGATAAGTAGATGCTGATCCATAATGGGGGTGGAGGGTGGGGGAGCATGGGAGGAATGGAGGAACCTTGGATTGGGAAAAGGGGAGGGAGGGTAAGAAGAGGCACGGGGGTAGAAAAGATGGATATCATTATCCTAGGTAATGTATGATAATACAAATGGTGTGACTCTACTTTGTCTACAACCAGAGAAATGAAAAATTGTGCTCCATTTGTATATTCTGAATCGAAATGCATTCTGCTGTCATGTATAATTAATTAGAACAAGTAGATAAATTAATTTTTAAAAATATCACCCAGCAATTTCAGTCATTTATATATATATATATGTCATTTTATGTATTATATATAATATATATGTGTATGTGTATATATATACACACACACACACACCCTCAAAATAGGGAATCAAAAGTTCACAGCAGCACTATATACAATTGTCAAAAAGTATAAGTTAACCCAAATATCCATTAATGGATGATGAATTGGTAAACAACCGAACTCTACCTTTATTCAACCATTTAAAGCAATAAAGGATTGATAAACACTATAAGATAAGATAAATTTCAGAGAGATTATGCTAAGTGAAAAAAGTCAAACATAAAGTCCACATATGGTATGAGCTCACTGATTTGTGGGGGAGTGAATAGGGAATAACTGGATCTTCTTTTGGGATGATGAGACTGTTTTGGAACATATTGTGCAATATATGAGTATATGAAATGTCACTAAATTTAACACTTTAAAATTGTAAATTTAATGTTATGTTGAAATATAACATCGCTCTTCAGCAAACATAAACTTTTGAAGTTTTATCTGTCTTAGAGTGTTTATCAATACCTCATTCCTTTATATGGTTGAATAATGTTAACTTCAAATACTGCAAGAAAGAAAATTCATCCACAGATGACTTGGTGTTAATTTCTTTTCAACTGCAAAAAGTCAAGTAATAAAAGGAATTTTACTTCCTTTCCTTTTTTAAAGCAAAGGAAAGAAAACTTGAATAATAACTAAAAAGAAGAAATCAATCTAGGAATATCACTAGGACATGAGAGGCATATCAAGTTAGAAAATCAATCCCAAACTTATATGTACCCCACAAAATGACTTCAAAATACACTAAGTAAAACCTACAGAAATGAATAATAGACAAATCTACAATTACAAATTCAATATTCTTCTGCAGTAAATGACGATTTCTAATCAATACACAGGCCTAAATACTATCCATTTAAATTGTACTATCATTACAAAAATCTTCAACCAGCAACAACAGTAATACACTTTCTTCTCAAGTACAAATGAAATATTCTCCAAGATACATCACATTAGAGTGGAGAGGTCAGGAATCTACAGCCAAAAAACCAAATCCATGCAGTTATCTGTTTTGTAAGTAAGCCCAAAATCTAAGAATGGGTTTTTATCATAAAAGATCAGAAATAAATGAAATTTAAAATAATAAAACAAAGAACCAAAGCTGGGCCTTTAAAAAGATTAAACAAAACTAACAAACCACTTATTGAATTGATAGAAAACAAAAAGAAACTATAAATTCCAAGATAATGAAAAATGAGCTAACACTTCAGATAGAAAAATCATTAAAAAGAGAAAAAACAATGTTAGGAACAATATTATGTTCATATATTCAACAACTTGGATGAAATGGACAAGTATCTTCCTGGATAAAAATCTTCTAAAGTTCATACCAGAAAAAAACTGATGTCATAAACAGTTCTGTATTAAGTAAATAGACAGTTTTTTAAATGTTGCAAGAAAGAAAGTTCATGCACAGATAGATGCCTTCACTGGCAAATTCTACACAAACTCTCCCCTAAAAAAAACAGGAGGAAGAAACATTTCCTATCCCTTTTTATGAGAATAGCATTACTCTGACATTATATGAGGTATTACAAATAAAAAGTATAAATCAATATTCCTTGTGAACATAATTATAAAAATCCTCTACTACAGGTTGACCATTCCTAATCTGAAATCTAAAATGCTTCAAAATCTAAAATTTTTTTACTAAAGATATGATACCACTACTGGAAAATTCCACAGCTGACCTCATATGATGTGACACAGTCAAATCAAAGGCACACTAAAAATATGGTACTAAATTACCTTCAACCTGTGTGTGTAAAACAAAAATGTTCAGACTTGGGTGCTGTCACAAAGATATCTTATTATGTCCATGAAGATATTCCAAAATAAATTAAAAAATCTGAAATTCAAAATATTCATGGTCCCAAGCATATGGGATAAGAGATTAATACATACAGTTGAAAATCCCTATTCTGAAAATCCTAAATCTGAAAATGGTCTGAAATCCAAAACTCTTTACAGTCTGACAAGATGCTCAAAGTTTCAGATTTTGGAGCATTGTGAATTTGGAATGTCTAGATTAGGTATGCTCAATTGGAAAGTCTATATGAGAATATTCCAAAATCCAAAAAGCTTCAAAATTTGAAATATCTCAGATAAAGGTCACTCAACCTGTATTTGCAAACAAAGTGCCAAATACATAGAATGGATACTACAAATATGAAAAGACCAGATTCATATTGAGAATGCAAATCTAGTTTAATAATCAACATAATTTGTTATATTAACAGACCAAGGAAGCAAACTATATGATCATCTCAACAGATAAAGAAAAGTCATTGCAATATCTATCCAAATAAATGTTCAACCAACTAGGAAGAATAATTTCTCAATCTAGTAAAAGAATGACTAAAAGAAAAACCTTATTTTATCATATTTAATAAGGAAAGCCTAAACACAGCCTTGTCCCATGGGTCCTGGTTACAGCAGCCTCACTCACTCATATTCCGAAGGAGATAGCCCCACTTGTCCAAACATACGCCCTCTGAAGAAATTATCAAGGAAAAATATGATTGGATATTTTCTTCCTAAAATTACCTTGGAATGAGAAAACATATGTAATACGAAACCCAGAAATCATAAAGGGAAATAAAAACCTACTAATTTTGACTATATTTTTTTTAAAAAAGGAGGACTGGGGATGTGGCTCAGCATGCACAAGGCCCTGGGTTCAATCCCTAGCACTGCATTGACAGAAGTATATACAGGGAAAAACAGATATGTTTTATATGGTTTAAAAAATGTATCTGTGTCACAAAAAACAAACAACAAAATGGAAAAGTAATTTTGAGTGACAAACTACAGTCTAATAAAAAATGTACACAAAACATGAGTCAGTGTTTCCAGAAAGAAATTCAAAGTCAGTTAAACTTAGGAAATATGTTCTATCTTACTAATAAGGAAATGAAAATCAAAACAAAAGAACACTTTTTCACTTAGAAAAAAATGTTAATGATTGCTGATATTCAAGATTAATGCAAGCAAAGAAAAAGACATTCATCATTCACTGTTAGCAGTATCATAAATTAAAAGTCAATTTAGAAAGGAAATTTGGCAAAATTCATCAAAATTTAAAATTCACACACTATTTTACTAAAAAATCCCACTTGTAGGAATTCATCCTATGGATAAAAGTATAACCAAATATATATATAAGAAAGTTCAAGGCAGCACTTTCCAAAATTGTAAATACACATAACAATACAAATGAATATCCACCAAAACTGAACATATTGTGTAAAAGATGGCTTATCTATATAATTCAATATTATATGACCATGAAAAAGGTGCTAACATGAAAATATCTCTTAAGGTATGTAAAATATATAATAATAACGGTAACAATAAGAATAATGATCACATTTATTTAAATTGTGTGAATATAAGATTACACAAACGTGTTTGTATGTGTTTGCACACTAGGATATGCCATGAACACTTTCTGAAAAACTAGACAAACAGGGATTAATAGTATTACCATTAGGGAGAAGGATTGGAGGCTACCAAAGTGAGGACAAATAGATTTTATAACTTCCTTAACTATTTGTACTTTTTACCATTTCATCAACATTTTAAAATGTCTATTTTCCAAATGAAATGTAAATAGTTTATCTGAAATTCCTATAGTAGTTTCAAATACTATTAGTGAGCTTTCTTTTTCATTCAATCTTTTGTTAATTCTGAAAACATTACCTGAATTGATTTGACAGGGGCAGACACATCAGTTGTAAATATAGGTTTTGGAATGCTTTCCACCAATTCCATAATCCCTTGCAGTTTTTTATCAGAGATTCGTAAAGAAACAAGAGGTAACTCTCCAGAAACCTTGAATCTGTTTTAAAAAGATAACAATGATTATAGAGGATCTTTCATTCTGATTTAAGTACACTAATTAAAAAGAAGAATATATTCCTCAAATTATACAAATATAATGAAATGTGATTTTAAGCACTACAAATCACTAATTTCTGTCTTAGCTTATTAACTGATCTCATTAGATGGGATAACTTATTTCCTAACATTATTTCACTTATTTCCTCTCTACTATTTACTAAGTAAATAAAAATGTACTATTTACTTAGTAAATAAAAATTTATTAAGTAAATAGTAGAGAGAAAATAAATGAAATAATGTTTTCCTCTCTACTATTTATTTCCTCTCTACTATTTAGGAAGTATAGATGGCAATTTCTATTTATCACATGTTTATTATGTGACAGATATTTAAGGAAGTGTTTTGTATGTATTATCATAAGTAGGCCTCAATTTATGAGGTATATAAACTATTTTTATTCCCTATTGATTGTAAGTTCCCATATGGTTCCTATGAAGAAACTACAGCAAGTTCAAATAACACATCAATGAGATCAGATATCTAAAACCACGACTCAAAACCAGAGTTGAGAATCTTATTAGGCTTTTAATGGCCTAGGCAGTGTACTTTGCTTACAGATACAAGACATAGAATTTAAAAAGAGACAGACCTCAAGGGAAAGTTTTCATGCACAATTTTGATCCCTGTATTTTTCTCTAAAACTTACCTTTGTGAATTATGCATAGTGACTGCTAAAGTTTCTTTCTGAAATATATATCTTGAGTTTCTTCAAAAATGTAAAAGATTTCTTTGACTTCAGTAGCATATATATATATAAAATCAATTCCATTCATCCTAGTAAAACTTAGTTACATATTATGGATCAGTCAAACTGATGCATCTAAAGTCTTTGCTTTCTTAAAATATTCAATTTGTACAATCTCAAGATGCTAGATGTGAGGCTGAGGTTATGACTCAATGATGCAATGCTTGCCTAGCACCTGTGAGGCACTAGGTTCAAGCCTCAGCACCACAAAAAAATAAATTTATAGGACTGGGGCAGCAGCTCAGTGGTAGGGCCCTTGTCTCTCACGTGTGAGGCACTGGGTTCAATGCTAGGTGCCAAAGTTCTACCTACCAAATAACAGGGTTCCTTTTACGTACCTTAAAATTTATCTAGTTCAAACTTCAAAGAAAGGTTGCTGACATTTGTAGAGTGTCAGGATTTTACATAATAATCATATCATTCAATGTTACTCAAGAGCTTACAAATAAAACCCAAATAACTTCTCACATTTCACCTTTTTAAATCATTGGTATTTTGGGACTGTGATTATGTTTGATATTTTAATCAGCTATTTTTAATCCTATTATGTTAATCCATTCCCTATATCAAGGATATATTCTCTCTTAATCATATACTGACAGAGCAAGTCCAAAGCAAGATAAGTTTCCCTTTTCTTCCTTCAATCTCCTCCTTTTTTTTCTGGTACCCTATAATATCCAGGATTTACCAAGAAAAAAACAAAAGTAAACTATTCTGGAAAAAAATCAATTTAAATTCTTACGCTGACAAAAGGAAATTATATACATATTTTCTCTTTATCACAGACTGAAAATTTTTACAAATAAATAGACAGGGGGACATCTGGGAAGTAATGAAAGAATTTAAGCCTTACCTCTAAAATCAAATCATACCTAAAGCTGAAATATGAAAAGCAAGAGAACATATGGAATGGCTGTCTTTCCTTCTCTCACTTAACCAAAATTCCAGGTATTCCTGTACCTCAAGTTAAACACACTTTGATTTATATAAGAGAAGGAAGCCTAGAAGAACAAGATTTAGGACTCTGGACAATGTCTACTAACAAAAAGAGGCACTGTAAGTTAAAAGTCAAAAAAAAAAAAAAGTTTGAGAATGGTCAGAGAATGCTTCTTGGAGTAGATGGTATCTCGAATCCCAAAAGAGGACTAAAAGTAAGCAAAAAAAAAAAAAAAAAGAAAGAAGTAGGAAAAAATGGTGAGAGGAGGGGATGAGTCTCTTAGGTCTCCCCTTTTAAGTAAAAACAAGGTCCGCACCACATACCATATGGAAAAGATCAGGATAACCCGAATCCCCTGTATTCTTCCTATACTTAATAAAGCACAAACATTTGAGCATTCTTTTGCTAACTTACTAGTAACAATTATTCTGAAACTGTTTAGTAGGTTGTTAGATGAGTCTTTGATAAAATTTTAAAATAGTTCTGGCCAAGGAAGAATACATGCAAAAAAAGAAAAATGATGCTGATATGAAGAAGAGATGAAATAGCCTATTATAATATAAAACTATTTAAGAAAAAAACTAGCTAAATGATCTGGTCTAGTTCAACAGACTTTTCTACTTTGAGTCTTGGGCTCAAGCTTCAGTTAACAATAAATTATAAAGATCACAGTAAAGATGAATACATGAACAAACATAAATATTATTATAATTTTAGTTTATAATTCAAATTTTATAATATTCTATAGGATTTAAAAGACAATTGCATAAAAATAACTATAAATCTATGCTAATGGGTACAGAGTACATAACATTTTAAATTGTGCCATCAATAACAAACTGAAGGGGATGGAAGTGGAAACTTTTTTTTTCATACAACTGAAATTAAATTGATATAAATTTTAGACAGATTGTAATAACTTTAGGATATTATATGCCATCTCCATGGTAACCTCAAAGAAAGTATCTATAAAACATACAAAAATTAGAAATGAGGTGGGATTAAAACATTTCACAACAAATATCAACTAAACATAAAGGCAATAATACAGGAAATGAGAAAGAAAACAAGCTATAAGATATAACAAAGGGCTTACCAACAAAAGTAAATGATCCCCTATCAGTATTTACTTTACATATAAATTTTCTCAACTTCACAAAAGATATAAAGTTGACAGAATGAATAAAACAATAAGATCCATCTGTATGCTATGTATAAGAGACTCTAGGTCCAGAAAAAACAGGTCAAAAGTGAAAGAATGCAAAAGACATTCCATACAAATAATCATCCAATGAAAAAAAGATTAGTTGTAATAAATCAAAACAGATTACAAGTCAAACAAAGGACAAACAGGGACATTTATATAATGAAATTTGGGAGTCATGTCAACAAAAAGATATAACAATTATAAAATATATATACCAGTCGTCAGAGCTCAAAAATATATAATCAAACATTGATAGAATTAACAGGGAGAAATAGACAGCTCTCTAATAATATTAGGAGACTTCAAAATCCCATTTTCAATAATGGACAGAACAATCAGACAATAAGCCAGATCAATAAAAAAGTAGAGGACTACAACTCTATTGGCCATACACTTCATGAATGAAATTTGAACCCTTTATACTAACTTAAGTAATCCAGATAAAAAAGGTAAAATATTTGATGACTTCACTTATAGCCAAATTCATAAGACAAAATAGAATGTCAGTTGTCAGGTACTGAGGTCAGGAAAGAGCAGAATGGGGCATTATTATTTAATGGGTATTTACTTTCAGTCTGGAAAATGATAAAGTTCTAGAGATAGATGGTAGGTAATGGTGGTACAATCATATGAAGGAACTTAAGGCTTACCAACAAAAGTAAGCTATCCACTTAAAAATAGTTTAACCATTTATTTTATCACACACACACACCAAAGAATCAATAAAAATGGTATTTCCTTAACTAAAGAAACACTGAGAAATTCCACAGTGCATAAAACTGTTCATACATACTTGGGCATCTTTATATCCATGAAAACCATGGCCTTAGAGAGTTCCACATTGAAGTGCATGGGCACCAAAATATGCTGTGTAGATACATTGAGTTTTCGTGCTTCTTTCCAATTATCACCTAATTACAGAATACAGTTCATATTTAATCTTCAAATAATTTGAATAACATAGTAAACCTAAAATTACCATAGGTAATATATAAACTTTAATTCTCCCCATGGTTTACAATTATCCCATTTTATAAAGCTGAGGCACAGAACTTATAAATTTTCTAAAGTCAATTGGCTAGTAATAAATCTGAAATTCATATCCAATTCTACAAACATGACCCTCTAGCTATGCTCACTACAATGTTACAAGCTTTAATTTTCAATAAGGGAATAATTAAATTCCTAAAAAATCACAAATACCTCCATACATTAACATTACAAAAGCAAATCCAATATCTTATATTCACACACTGCATGAGAAAATATCCCATACCATTCTGAGGTATACACAATCAACAGGCAAATTCTTTTCCCTTTTATCACTTTTTTGCTTTCTTTTTTTTCTTCACAAGACTCTCTTTTAGGTTCTACTAGAAAAAATATACTTATTATTTTTAAAAAGCAGAAGTTTAAAGCAAATCTACTATATATTCATTGACAATCACCATAAAGCCAGATATTGTACCCCCAGAATTACATGGGTGTAAGGCCATAATGGAAAAGACAGTAAATTTATTTAATAGTAACTAATAAATGTTACCATTTACTCAAGATTTATAACTAGCAATGTTGTAGGTAACATATAAACTTTAATTCTCACAGTTTAAAATTATCCCATTTTATAAAACTGAGGCTCAGAGCTTACAAAATTTCCTAAAGTCAAGGGGCTAATAATAAATCTGAAATTCATACCCAGGTCTACAAACATGACCCTCAAGCTATGCTCACTGCAGTGTTACAGCCTTAATTTTCAGTAAGGGAACAATTAAATAACTTACAGAATAGCCTTAGAACACAACACAGCCAATAAAAATCATAAATTCCAGTGACCAAAAATTATTGGTAAAGTAAAAGAATTATTTGGATTTTAAAAACTATATAAAGCTGCCTTAAAAATCACAAATACCTACACACATTAACATTACACAGCATATCCAATACATTCGTGGACACATATGTTGTAAAAAACACTAAAAGAGGGGCTAGAGTTTTGGCTCAGTGGTAGAGTGCTCGCCTAGCGTGCACAAGGTACCTGGTTCAATCCTCAGCACCACATAAATGTAAACTAAATATATTGTATCCACCTAAAGCTTAAGAATAAATATTTAAAAAGAAAACACTAAAAGTACCAACAGAGCTCATGTCTAAGCAATAAGACAAAGGATGGTTCTTTTTGTTTTCTGAATCATCCAGATTTTCTAAAGTAGACATTTATAATCAGAAAGAAATAACTTTAAAATTTTATTTAGGGCTAGGGGTGTAGTTTGAAGGTGGAATATTTGTCTAGCATTCCTAAGATTCAACATTCAATTCCCAGCCCTACACACACAAAAAAAAATAAGATGAATGTGATCTCAATGCATTTTCACACAAACTACCTCATTTGCACCTAATTACTCTTTAAGTCAGATGAACTTCTTATCTTGAAAAACCAGCCAAGGAAATGTTACACTCATGGAGATAAGTAGTAAAATGGGCTTTATTATAATTTTTAAAATTCTACCACCAGTATTGAGATAGATAAAAATGTGATATTTAGAAGCATATATTTCAGAATTTTTCAAGGGATTCTATGACAATAACTTAATTGTAAAGTTAACACCATATCCAAAAAAGTATTCAAAAAAAGGGATTCAATTATTTGAGAACAATTAATCAAAAAGAATTTCAATAATCTTCACAGTAATAATGGATTTTTAAAATTTTAACCATTTTAGTATCTTAAATATTAAGTATGGCTCACAGACTTTAAAAACCTGTGACCAAAATGTCCATTCAAACATACCAAATGCCATAATTTATTCTCTGAAAAAGCATTTATAGACTTTTGACTTTGTTGTCAAATAAACTTCTAGTTGTCTTCATCTAAAAAATGAACTTGACCACTGATGCATGACTGTATACCACAATGATTGGGATACAGATGCCCAAGAGAGTGAACCTCCTCAGGCTTTGTTTGGCTATCTATAGTCTAGGCTATCAGAGACTCTAGATTAGTTGCCTCTAGCTTTGAGAAACCTCTTTGCCTCTTCTGGTTATCCAACTGTGAACACAAATATCATCAACAGGGTTAAGAGTGAGTCTCAGTGGTAGAGTTCTAGACTACCATTTGCAAAACTCTGGGCTCAATCCCCAATACTGCAAGAAAAATAAATTTAAAATTTAAAAAGTAAATATGTGTACATAAAAAATATGTACACATATCATTAGCAATATGTGCCAATCTTTGGTCCAAGGTTAGAAATTCTGATATGGATCAGGATTTCTCAATCTTGGCACTAATGACATTTGTTGCTGGAGGCTGCCCTGAACACCTTTAGACAATATATACTATTACTTCTAATTCAAAAATTATGAAGAATGTCTTTAGACAAAGTATCTAAAAACCTAATTAAATTACTTTCAGCAAAATCAATCAATAATACATTTTATACTTACCTACTCTACTATAAAGTAGTTGTATGCTTGTAAGGTTAATATCAAAGGAATCATAAGCTCTTTGCATGATTTCTTCAAGGTTGGGCCCACCTTGTTTCACATCTGGTAATTCCGAACGAATTTTACTTGCCACCTTGAAGTTAATTTTAAAAGTTTAGAGTATGCAAAATATTTCAAAATATAAGTATAAAGTTTTTATCTTTCAGACCTATAATGTAAAAATTTAATAGGAAAAGAAACTCACATGCAGACACATATTGTAATGCTATTAGAAAAGTCATTATTCGTAAGATATATAATAAGAAGGACAGGACATAAGGTAAATTTTTACATGTTAAGTTATATTTCCCATTACTTATATTAAAAGAGGAAAACCAAGACAGTACTAGAAATAATACATCTACAAATACTTAAAATCTGATAAGACTCCTCACTGAGAGCCAGATCAACCCAGAGATAAATTTAGCTTATAAAACGTTTCCATTGTACAAAGACAGATATTTAGATAGTTTTATAGCAATTAGAGTCTAGGATTTAATATTAGGATGGTGAAATTTAAGACCCAACTTTGCCATTTATGTGACTCCAAAGATGTTATACTGTATTCTCCCTTTTCTTGACAAAGGATTCTTTTCACTTAACATTCCAGGAATCACTCAAAGATCTTATTCTTTCACTCACTGATGAATAAATAAATAGATATAGATAGATATCTGTGTGTGTACATATTTAAACATAAACACACACATATAAACAGTTTTTCTTCTATTTTGTATATCTCATGTGAAATAAACAGTCAAAAATTATTAACTTTGAAATGTAATGAATTTTGGGTAACAGGTTAAGTGAATTACCAAATGTCACAAAACTATATACTTAAATATATAAAGATATATTTGATTATCTCCAGAATTCCCTCTATTTTACTTTAATTAATCAAGTAAAGATTGAACAGAAAAGGAAATAAACATTTCAAGTACAACTCAAATTCTACAAATATAATTTTTCAGTTTACTCCTGCCCCTAAGAGTTCAATTGGTTATTTTTCTTTTAGAAGGAGGGCGGAAACACCTAATTAAATGACACTGCACTTCCTTTACCAGAAAGGAAGATTTCTCGAATACTAGTATCTACCACAAATCTAAAAATCAGTAAGCCAATCAAACGGCCTTAAAAACAAGATTCATAATACCCTAAATGCCATATCATGAATTAAATATTATTATTATGTACCTTTAGATGACCAAGATCCAAAAGTAGTAGATTAGATGTAGGAGTAAAAATTCCATCTTGTGGTACAATAATGTATGAAGCCTTCAAGTTAATTCTGAGGTCAAGAACTTTCTGTGTTTCAATAATATACAAAAGACCTGTAGAAAATTTAAATCTTTGAAATGAATACTTCTCAGAAATTACTTAAGAAATACGGAATCACTAAACATACAAATTGATAGCATAATCATAAAATAATATGAAAGCAGTATTGATTTCAAAATAATCTTGAGCAAAATATTTCCAAAATAAATGCAAATTATTTGTTGGTTAATGTGTACACGAATTAAATCTGAGTATAAAATTAGAGCAATTTCAAAAAAAAAAACAATGGTTTTTAGCCCACACATTCAATTTGGCTAAAACTGGGGAGAAAGATACTGACCTAAAAAAAAATTTAAGTGATATGAAACATTTTTTCATGGTTACTATTAGAATCTGTATGCAGTCATTCCAACTCATAAATTTAATACAGTTAAACAATGGTAACTTGATCTTGATGATTTTACTCTGAAAGGATGAAAACTGCTGGATCATTAAATCATCTTTAATAAAATCATATGTAAACCAGAAAAGGCAACAAACCAGGGTTCCACATTCCTTAGATATTGTTCAAAAAATTTTAATTCAATCACTTGCATGTGATTAGTAAGCCAAATTAATCTACTTTAGTGCTGGAGTCCAGCATCAGCTTTTTTTTTTTTTTTTAATTTAACCTTTATTTATTTGTTGTTGACTTGTTTTTATGTGATGCTGAGGATCGAACCCAGAGCCTCACCCATCCTAGGCAGGTGCACTACCACTGGGCCACAATCCCAGCCCCAGCATCAACTTTTAAATCAAATTATTAATGACTCCATCAGATAGGAACCCCTCCTTTATATCAATAAATTCTTTAAAAAGCCATCAAATCTGTTTTAGTGAAAAAAAAAAAGATGTTTTGATTTATAAAATTTCGAGAGATCTGCTACCTAAATAGAAAGGCACCTTACTTCACAATGACAAGAAGGAAGGCAGGGAAGAAAACTATCACAAAAATGATTGTGAGGACTAGGTATTTTCAATGTGAATTATAAATAATAAGAAACTAGGGCTGGGGATGTGGCTCAAGCAGTAGCGTGCTCGCCTGCCATGCGTGCGGCCTGGGTTCGATCCTCAGCACCACATACAAATAAAGATGTTGTGTCTGCCGAAAATTAAAAAATAAATATTAAAAAAAAAAGAAACTAAACTATTATAATAAGAAAATAAACCCTCATACTGCAGTCAATAATATCTATAGTTTAACTGAACTTCTTTTTTTTTTTTTTTTTTCAGAATAGGACCATGGTTAGACCAAGGTCATAAGAGTATTAAATGAGAAGGGCAGGTATTAATTTAAAAACCTTGCAAGAAAAGCTCTATGATTTAAAAGAAGAGATTCAGAAAATTCAGTATTTGAACAGTTCATGATATTCCTATTTGGAACTACAATGACTCCTATAATAGTCCTTTTTTCTTCAAAGGACAAATTCCCAAAAGAACGTATTCCATGTTTTGTGACACTATTACGAAGGATTATTAGTAAAGTGACATAAATGTAGGCAGATCAGTATATTTTAATATAAACCTTAAAATTAAAATATTCATTGAAGAATACATGTTCAAATTGAATAAGTCAATAACTTTAAATGTACTTATAATAAGATAAAATTATAAGTAGATATGTAAGATATAATATACTTATAAAGAAATGTAAAGTTTAAAAACATATATGAAGTGTCAAGTGCCAGCATATGATTAATTTGATAAACAAGCTAAAGGAGAAAGTGAATTAAATAAAAAATAATTTAAATATATACATTTATATAATAATAGAAAATAGCCTAAGATCATAGTCTGGACCAGTTCTTATTAGAAATATGATAAATTAATAACAAAACTATCATTTTCAAGGAATTCCAAAGGCCTTGCCTAGGCTGAACCAAGCAATACGCTGGGGGTAAAGGGACTATTGACATCTCCAATAACCTAAACAATGCAGATTCAAACGAAATCTCTTAAAATGAGGATGAAAAGTAAAGTCAAAGATAGAAATGAATACAGATTGACAGATCATCAAATTCTGACAATCATCCCATAAGCTTAGAACTTAAAACACAGAACTGACTAAAACACAGTTGCTCATACCATTCCCGCCGCCATGATCTGGATTCAAACACAGATTGTACAATTTACTCAAGTTTATTTGCTGAGTAAGTCATAAGAAGTACCCAAAAGGGACAGTCTGACCCTCAAAATCCTCCAGATTCTACCCGTTAAAGCATATTTCTCTATCTTCATCTCTAGGCTAATGGTTCCTCAACTCAAATTATCTATCTGTGAATTCCTCCTGCCTCTATAAATCTATGCCCTATACTCCCTGGAAGTCCTATGCCTCACTTTCAATGAATTGTTTCTTTCTTTTCCCCCTAAACATTTTTTTACTTGTTCTTTTTTAGTTATACATAACAGTAGAATTAATTTTGACATATCATATATACATGGAATATAACTTCCCATTTTTGTGGTTGTACATGATGTGGAGTTCCACTGGTCATATATTCATATAGGAAACACAGGAAATTTTTGTCCAGTTCATCAGTTGTATTTCCCATTCCCATACCCTCTTCCTTCCCCCCACACCACCCTGGCCAATCTGGTGTCAGTGAATCCTTTCTTAATGTTACGACACAATGATCTATTTCCCTACGTTACTTTCAATGGAAAGGAAGGAGAAAAAATTTATTTTAAATGTTAAACCTACTTATGTCTCACCCCTATTTCTCATATTTATAATAAAATCCTCTGCTTAATTCTCCATCATTGTTTTGCATAATTGAGATTGTGCCTCTTTAACATCATTCCACTCTCCGCCTCACATTCACTACATTAGAACCAGCTTTCTGCACTTCCAAATTCTTTTCTAAGTTACTATCCAAATTTGATCACTGCCTCTTATCCTCTAAGAGAATTGAATCTTGCATCAATTTTTCAAACGGATCTCTGGTACAATTACCAAAACTAAATTAGGACATCCATCATTCTCATTTCCTTCATAACATCTGGTCCTATTATCAATTTATTTCCTCAACTCCAAATTCACCCTTTTGCCTGCTCTATGAAACTGGAGCTGAGCCCCTTCAATACTTTTCTTGTACCAACAAGCACTGAAGATAAGATAGAATAAAGGAAAGACTGTAAAAAGAAATGATCTTACTACCTGATTTTAGTGCAACCCCTCAGCAAGATGCTGCAACAATGCAGCTTTCTCCAACACTAAGCACAGGTAGCACATAAGGGACAACAGTACCCAATAGCCAGCATCTTCCTTTAGAATCATTTTCCTCAGGTGTTTTCAGGGCAGAATGTATGTAAGGGGATGCCTGAACACCTTTCCCTATCACCTAAGGAAGGATTTCTAGAACATTTCAGAAGCAGGTTTTCAGCAAGTTTGTTAGCATGGCACCATAATGGCTTCTCCAATATTCTATGAGTCATAGCGTGCCTTCTTCCAGTAAGGTCTAAATTTCAACCCTTGGAGAACAGAGGGATAACTTCCTAGGGAAAATTAGTTCAATCCTATAAACCCTATAACTACCCTTCTTATATTCTTCAAAGTCAGTCTTTGGAGGAGGGTCACTGGAGAAGGTAATGCCCTCCATGCTTACAAGAGAAGTCACATATGGACCCATATGGTCCATATGTGACTGACCCATCCTGGCAGATGGCACCACTGGTAGAGGAAAGCCAAGAGGCTTAACACAAATCCCCAAGGAATCTCAGCTGACTCTTAAGAGTAGATAGGAACAAGGTGGTTTTGACCAACTTGGTCTTAAACACCTAGAAAAACAGTATAGCCTAAGCACAGTCCTTCAGGGACATTTAAAAGGAAAAAAGATGTGCTGTTGTTGTTGTTGTTTTAAATGTAATTTAAAATGTACACTTGTGTCAACTCTACCAAAAGTAAGTAAAGTTGGAGACTATAAAGGAAAGGTTCCTGTGTAGGAGTGCCTAATAATAATGATCATAAATAGAGTTTCGAGTTTATCTTGAGTTAATTTGAGCCTGATCTCCTAAACCTACAAATCTCCTAACCTCCTACATTAATAAACTCAATGTATTTTTCACTGATTTGATTATAAGTTACTGTCTTCACAGTTTTAAGAGACTGGCTAAAATAGTAATTGCTTTTGTGCTGATTGTTCACTATAATGAACTATCATTTTAAAAACCAAATCTGTAGCTTTAACCCTTCCCACAAAAGGATGGAACTTTTATTTTCTGAGGCCAATATATCAAACTATGGTAAGGAAATGACAGGCCTATTGTCAAAAACAGAGGTCCAAAGATCCTAACTATCAACTTTCTGAGTATAAAAAATGATTATTATTACACATGCCTTTCAACAGAAAAGTAATAAATTGCTGGGCCTGGTGGTACATGTCTGTAGTTCCAGCAGCTCGGGAGGCTTAGACAGGAGGATCCATAGGTTCAAAGCCAGCCTAAGCAACAGTGAGTTGCTAAGCAACCCTATCTTTAAATAAAATACAAAATAGGGCTAGGGATGTGGCTCAATAGTTGAGTGCCAGCCAGCGAGCTCAATCTCTAATTACCACCACCACCACCACAAACACCACCCCGGGAAAAAGTAACAAATTAATTTCTTTACACTGTATCCATTCTAGAAATAAATTTAAACTTTACCAAAATCATGTTAACATAAATAAAATTATGAAGTATGAAACAGTATTTAATTTATTAAATTTAATTAATTTACCTGTTGCTGTCTTTTCACGAAATTCTTCAAGTTTTGTTAAAGTTGCTGAAGTGAGCTGTGCTAGATGTACCTCTTTTGGAGGTCTGAAGAATTCTATTATACTATTCACTGTCCTCTGTTAAAAAAAAAAAAAAAAAAGCATCATTAATGTGAAGCACAATCTCAAGGCAATCTAAATTATATTAAAAATTGGTAACATAAAAAATACTAACTGCATCATATATCATTTCCAATGGTTCAGCTTCTATGATACACCTCTGAGAAACAGTTTCATCTAATGGATTTATCTCAAATATAATCTGGAAGAGTGATGTACCATCCAATGAAGACAGGAGGCGGGGTTTTTTTGAATTATCTGGTAAGCCAGTAATATGAAATGAGTCTATTCTGGTTTCAAATCTGTATGACAAAGGATAGGACAAAAATTAGGAATCAATACAATTCCAAAGAATTTTTCAAATTAAATAAAAATAAGTAACAACAACTTCACTTTCTATTTCCTGCAACTCTAGTCCATTTACATAAAAGAAAATATACAATGATTCCTCTGAATTCATATACCATATTTCACAAAGACTCATTCACATGTTAATTCCTAAGTTAAAAAGCTAATGCTATGCTAATATTTGGTGTACTTACTGATAAAATCTAAAATTAACATAGCAATAATGTCTTACAACGCATATCAATGTAAAACTGAAAAGTCATACCTAACACAATTTTATGAGCACTTTCTGTTCTAAGATTTAACATAAATAATTAAAAACCAAGCAGAAGGCAGAATTTCTAAAATAGCTATGTGAGGAACTCAGCAAAATATCTCCCAACGTATTAACCATGAAACAACTGATGAAAATTAGGTTCTCTGGAAACCTAAGGGCACACTGCAAACAAACAAACAAAACATATATTTAGGAAAAACTGTGAAAACTGGGTAAGTACAGGAAGAGTCTGTGACATGAAAACAACAATCACCTCCCACTTCCAGCCCCATATTGCATTACAGAAGGTAATATATAAATGGATGCTGCTAAATAGGGGGCTCTTCTTCAGCTCCAAATTTAAGGTACAGCTTCACCTGAGGAGGAACAGGCAGCGTATCATCCTTCCCCCAGCTATACATTACAAAAGCTCTATTCCAAACAGGCACTGTCAGGAGGGTTGAGTTTCCCTTTCTTCCCATTCATGTGCAAAGATTTTTTTGACCCAGAAGCCGCACTTTATGAATACTGAGGCCCAAATTGCCCCTCCACCATTTTGCTCCTAAAGTATAAGTTCCATTCTGAAAAATGTAAACAGAACCCCCCAATGAAATTGATACAGCAAGGTGTCACTCTGGAAGAATTATGGGCCTGCCTACAAACTCCACATATAAAGCTGAGGTTTTTGTCAAAGGTAGAGGCAGGCTGAAAGGACTGGTAGCTCCGGCTGCTAGGACTGACATTATTTATAACAGAGCAAAGACAAATTCATGCTTAAACATGTAGTTTAAAACAATAGCAATCTTCATCAACTAGTAACAACAAGTAAAATGGCAAACCAACCAATAGATTATTTAACAAAGAGAACCAGGAAAAGAGAGCTATATAGGATCCTTCTGGGATCAAACTCATATTACAAGTAGAGAAGTCTGGATGATCCAAGATGGAAGAATAGAGGAGATCCTGTTTCTGGCTGCTCTGTGGCATGAAACCAAGAAAGCAGTCAGGTAGCTTCTCTGCAAGGTCTCACCTAGACGGAATACAACATCTCAGAGAGTGTGAGAGGACCCCCTATACAGTGGATTTTCGCAGAAATCACCAGCGCTGTGACCACCTGTGAAGAAATCAGAGCCTTGGCATTCAAGTAGGTCTCTGGATTCCAGACCCAAAGCTCACATCTCTAGCTCACGCACGGTTCCAGCTTAGCAGAATCACCTATCAGCACCTCTGCAGAACTCCAGAATGAGTCTGCTCCCACGTAGGTCACTCGGATGCTACCTATCCACAGCACAAGGACATTGCCAGGTCCCCCCACCTCACCAGACACCCCTGCACTGGAAGCACACGGACTTCCATCTTGGAAAACCTTTCTCACCATTTTTGGTGGGCATGGCTATCAGATCAGATCTCCATTTGAGCAGGTACCTGGTTTCCAATTCCCCGACCCCCAGCAGCGATAATTCGGCACAGGGACCACCCAACACAAAAACAGCTCTCAGGTGGACAGGAGTGTAGTGTGACCAGGGTGCTGCCCACCTGGTGTGAGCCTGGGGGTGAGAGGTCTCGAAGTTGGGATATGGTAAGTAAGAGAGGGGAGGGGACTAAAGTCTGGGGCATAACAGAGAGATCAGGATCTGGGAAATCTCCAGGCAAAAGAGGGAGATGATACTGGGGGTTTAGTCAGACAAGTGGTCACAAAAAGAGACCCATGAAGTGCAATTCCCCTGGGACTGATGGGTGGCACTTCCCACTTCCAGACCCTCCACACCAGGTCCAGTCTTCTCACCTTGGTTACCTACACCATCTTGAGGGCAGAGACACCAGCTTAAAACAGACAACTCCACCTACTGGATAAGAAAAGAAGGAGGAAAGAAACAGATCTCTAATTCTTCTTCTTCTTTCTCTTCTACCCTTCTATCCTCTGACCCTCACATCACAAACATATGTGAAACCAAGAACTTTGCATGAAATAGGACTTTGAGGACTGAGTCACCTGAATAATGTAATATAGAGGAATTATATAAGCCTTTTTTTTTCTTTTTTCTTTTTCTTCTTTTTCTTCTTCTTTCTTTCCCTTTTTTTCTCTTTCTTCTTCTTTCATCCTCCAAATTTCACTATTTTTACATCCTGTATTTTTCTAAATACATATTTGTGTTTGTTTTATGTACTCTACTGTCTTCCCATGTACTTGTCTACCTTAAATTACTTCCTGTCTACTCCCCTACTACTAACCCTTTTCATTAGATTTCTCCTTCACATTTCCTAAGATATATTAAATCTATACACTCATATCTTTCCCCCTCAGCATATCGTCCTATGCCTGACTCCCAGTTCATTGTCCATCACCAGAAACTGTAAATCTTTTTATGAAACTACTGATTATATTTTAAATAATAATTTAATCCAACATTTCTGGACACTGAGACTAAACTATAAATGTCTTAATAATAACAGTTTGTTCATAGGTGATGCATTGTTGACATTGGGATCTGTTAACATTATCCCTCCCCACAAAAGAAGGATCTTGGAACCCTACCCTATCTATAGGGTAAAAACAATAACACACAAGATCCATAGAGCTGCAAAGGAAAACACATGAGCAACATGAAAAGACAAGAAAGGAAAGTACCACAAACAAATCAAGACAACACATCATTAGAAGCATTGGTAGCTGCAGCAGAAAAAAATGACAGAGAAAGATTTCAGGATATACATGGTTAAAATGTTCTGGGATCTCAAAGAAGACATAAGAGAACAAATACAGGCAGTGAAAGATCACTTCTACAATGAGCTACATAAACAAATCCAAGAAGCAAAAAATCACCTCAACAGGGAGATAGAGGTTCAAAAAACAGAAAGCCTTGAAATGAAAGAAATCATAAACCACATTAAAAACTCAAATGAAAGCATCACCAACAGAGTAGACCACTTAGAAGATAGGACATCAGACAATGAAGATAAAATATATCATCTTGAAAAGAACATAGACCACACAGCAAAAATGATAAGAAGCCACGAGCAAAACATTCAAGAAATATGGGATACCACAAAAAGAACAAATTTAAGAGAAGTCTGTGTGCACATGCTAGGCTGCATTCACTTAGGAAAATTAGAGCAAGACTACAGTAAGACTTCTATCAAATAATTGTATTTATGTGGGTTTGCCTCTGTGTCTTCTATTTTGTACCATTGGTTTACGTGTCTGTTTTGGTGCCAATACCATGCTGTTTTTGCTACTATGGCTCTGTAGTACAGTTTAAGATCTGGTATTGGGATGCCTCCTGCTCTACTCTTCTTGTTAAGGATTGCTTTGGTTATTCTGGGCCTCTTATTTTTCCAAATGAATTTTAAGATTGGTTTTTTCTAATTCTATGAAGAATGTCACTGGGATTATAATTCAAATTGCATTAAATGTATATAAAGCTTTTGGTAGCATGGCCATTTTGACAATATTAATTCGCATAGCCAGGAGCATGAGAGGCTATCCATCTTCTAAGGTTTTCTTCAATTATTTTCTTTAGTGTTCTATAGTTTTCTTTGTAGAGGTCTTTCACCTGTTTTGTCAGACTGACTGTCCCAAGAATTTTTTTTTCTTTGAGACTACTGTGAATGGGGTAGTCTAATTTCTGTTTCAGTAGATTCATCACTGATGTATAGGAAGGTAACTGATTTATGGGTATTGATTTTATAACCTGCTACTTTGCTGAATTCATTTATAACTTTTAGAAGTTTTCTGTAAAATTTTTTGGGTCTTCTAAATATAAAATCATGTCATTGGCAAATAATGACAATTTGAGTTCTTTTCCTATTCATATCCCTTTAATTTCTTTTTCCTGTCTAATTACTCTAGCTAGAGTTTCAAGGATAATGTTGAATAGAAATGGTGAAAAGGAAGGCATCCTCATTTTGTTCCAGTTCTTAGAGGGAACACTTTCAATTTTTCTCCATTTAGAATGATGTTAGCCTTGGGTTTAGTATATATAGTTTTTATAGTGTTGAGGTATATTCCTACTATCCCTAGTTTTTCTAGTGTTTGGAACATGAAGGGGTGCTATATTTTGTCAAATGCTTTTTCTGCATATATTGAGATGATCATATGATTCTTGTTTTTAAGTCTATTGAAGTGATGGATTACATTTATTGATTTCCATATGTTGAACCAACCTAGCATCCGGGGGATGAACCCTACTTGATCTCAGTGTACTACCTTTTTAGTATGTTTTTGTATGCGATTTCTGAATATTTTCACCATAAAGAAATGACAAATATTTGAGGAATTAAAAATTTTTGCATATATGTTCATTAAGGATATTGGTCTAAGTTTTCTTTCTTTGATGTCTTTGTCTGGTTTTAGTTTCAGGATGATGTTAACCTCACAGAATGAATCTGGAAGGGTTCCCTCCTTTTCTATAGCATGGAATAGTTTGAGGAGTATTGGTGTTAATTCTTCTTTGAAGGTCTTATAGAACTCATCCGAGATTCCATCTGGTTCTGGACTTTTTTTGTTTTGTAGATTCTCATGGTTTTTTTTTTTTTGTTTTTTTTTTTTTCCTATTTCATTACTTGTAATTCATCTGTTTAAATCATGTATGTCCTCCTGATTCAGTTTGGGTAGGTTATATAACTCTAGAAATTTTTCAAGGTTTTCTACCAAAGGTACCAAAAACATTCACTGGAGAAAAGATAGCTTATTCAATA